CAATAATATACTTTAATATATAATATTTTGAAAATGTTTCTTTTATGTATAAGATGAAAATTTTGAAAATATGATATATCAAGAAGTATAACTATCTTTATATTATCTATTCTTCAATTTTTACGCTTTTTTTTATCAACTTGGTTGTTTTTTTTTTTTCAATTTTTTTTTTTTTAATTTTATATTACTCACTATATTACTCACATTTGTATATTAGCAATCAATGTCAAAAGTACAAATTCCTAAAGGTTATTTCACTACTCATTCTTTGCGAAAACACCAATTTTTACCAGTTTAGATAAGATTAAACTGCTACGTATAAGATTCATTTCCGACCTTTAACTTATATACATTTAAATACATTGTAGTCCTGTCATCCTAGCTGACCAGTATACAAAGACTTTGTTTGTGCTGTGACCACTCTCCACTCTCTTCCTAATGGGCCAACAAAATAATGTTGTTTATTTTATTTTTACTGTAGCTGTAACTGTAGTTGTAGCTGTATGTGTTGTGGTCAGTCTCCGGTTTCTTTGATTCTTTTGTTTGCTTAAGTTTGCCCAAAAGCGATTTTCATAATGTGGCATTACTCAGACAGAAATCGGTCATAAAACTTAAGTTTAATGTCATGCAAATGGCGACACTGGGAATTAGCAGTGTCGACGTCTGATGGCTTTATTTCCATCTCTCTTGGCTTGATATGCTCTGCGACGGTTATGTGTGATGTGAGGCTCTATAGATAACTTTGTGTACCGGGACCGACTCTTTGGTTCCATCTCTGTCATTTTTTTCTGCTTCGTCTTGCAACTTGTTTTTAATTAGGCTGCCTAATGTGTCAGCTTATGGTTATTATGCGGTTTCTTTGGCGATTTTGTTTATTATCATCTGCTCTGCGCCACAAAGGCGTCAAAGTGATGCCCATTCGATTTTAACGCTGTTTACGATATAGATGTATGTGTACATAAATCTGGACCAGTTAATTTGCAATTCCTCTTAGTGAATGTGGAAAGAGATCAAATGCGAAGTAAGTCTTTAGGAATACCATCAAGAAATTCCAGATCTCTAAATAGATTTTGCAGCGGCTGTGAAAATATTATAAAAAATAATTAAAGTGCAAATTCCTGCATGGAATTTATGGGAAAAACAGAAGAGCCCAAACGAAGCCAAGCGAATTGGCAGACCCAGATAGTATCGCATCCACATATCATATCGAATCGTCCCAGTTTGACGTACAAATTGCGTGTGTGTGTTTCTATTTTCTAAGTGCACATAGAGTCATCAAAAATTTCGCAATGTTTTGGCAAACAATTAGAAAGAACTCATTCTGCTCTCTATATGTATGTAAATATGTATGTCTATTTCTTTTTGCACAATTTATCTATTGTATTTTGATTTGTTTGTGTAGCCTTGAACTTAAATTGGGTGCAATTAAGTAAGTTTGTATGTTTGTGTGTGTATCAATTTCGTTTGATAATAAACACAAACAAGCAAAGAAGCAACCAAGCAAACAAACAAACAATCGAAAATATCTCAACTACGTACGTAAATTAACTGCGCACAAGAAAGCTCACGCCTTTGCCCCGGCCAAAGGTCTTGGCAAACAATTTAAGGAATTTTACCAAAATTCCATTTCCATGTATTACATATCGCAGGTTTGGATCTGGCGGGCAATACGTGTTACTAATGGTAAATACACAAATACAAACACACACACCCCTAGAAAATGTTTTTTTTTTTTTTTTTTTTTTTTTGCATCTTCTCTGATATTGCCATATAAAGCGATTATTATTGTGCACCGGGAAGATTTTACAGAGCTGTCTGTGTTAACAGTGGCAAACGGAACCAACGTGCGCTATCTCTCTCTCCTTCTTGACGAGGGGTCAAATAGAGCAACAGCAGAGCAGTGTCAGGGCTTTGCAAATGCTGCTTCTGTTAACTTAACAGTGCCCGCGCACTCTCTCACTCTCTCATGCTCTCTTTTAAGCAACCGCCTACACTTGTCAGCAAAGAGTGCAAGAGCTTAACAGTAACGTAACAGCCACGATAGCAACAACAACCGCTGCAAAAGAGGCCTCGACAACAGCGTGGTTTGAGGGTGCCAAATAACTTTTATTGGATTCAGTCATTGGCTGGCCGCGATCGCCTGAGGAACGTGTTTGAGTTTGAAATTGTTCAAAGCGGATTAAAATTTATTTCGGCAAAAGAACTTATTGGCCAAAGTGCAAAATTTTTAAACAACAAAAAAAAAAAAAAAAAGACATTTATAAATAGTGCATGTTAAAAAAAGTTAGTATTTTATCAAATAAAAAGTGAATAAACTATAAAATTGATATGGAAAATTTGAGTAGAATTTGTGTTGCAAAAAAAAAAAAAACAAATTTTTGCAATAAACCAAATTATTAAAATATCATGAAAAATAAATTAAAATTGTGAAGTTAAATTTGGAATATCTTTGAAGTGAAATCAATTTGATTTCTTTCTACAAATCAGGTTTAAATTAAGTTGGCTATATTATTTATTAACTCTTGGCATTTGTCCTTCTAAACAATTCGGTTTATCTGAGCTAATGACAAACAAAAGAAAGCGTGGCCAATTAGGCGCCTGATTAAAATTTGTTTGGCTGATATCAATTAACACATTCCAGAATTTCATCTAATTGAAATTTGCTAATTAATTAGCGAATAAAACTTTCAAATAAATTTACACAAAATTATAAACAGGTTTGCATTTGAAAAAGAATTTTAAAAGAATTTGAAATGTTTGAACACACTGCTTGATTCGAATATTATTTATAAATAATATATTCCATAATTGTGAATACACTTTGTGGCACTTAATAAAATTGACAAGAGGGAGAGAAAAAAAAAACAAACAATTTTAATTTAGTCACAACAAAAAAAAACTGACGAAACTGGAAAAATCTATTTGCAATTTGCATTTAAATAAATAATAAACCTTTTTTATTATTACCATTTTTTTTTTGCTTTTGATTTGTTAATCGCTTATTCTGAAACAAGTTTAATGCTCTGTCATAACTCTCCGGGTCCCGTGTCCGGAACCCAGCAGAAAAAAGGGGCGCTTTGTGCCTTCTTTTATTTATTTATTTTTTTTTTTATAACTATTTCTATTTTTTGCTGTCTTTGCGTAAATTTGGATTCGCATTGGAGCCAACAAAAAGGAAAAAAATAATAAAATAATAAAAAAGAAACTTTCGGGTTTAAAATAAGTTTTTAAAGCTGACGTCATCAGAATTTGTTAAAAAAGTTTACTGTTATGTGATTGCTGGCGTTTCGTACTGTGTTTATGTTGCCAATTGTGGTTAGCCATAAGTTTTATGGCCCACTGGGTATATCAGCTCGTTGCGTTTGCAAGCACTCGAGATATAATAGTTCAATTTTAAAAGTCCGATAAATTAAGATCAGTTTTATATATCAACAGCTTAATCAACACCTAATTAGTCTTAGATTATCTAGATATTTAGCAATTCAAATTTAGTTTTAATCTTGCCATCTAACTAGTTACAGGGTATTTTGCAATCGCATAGCTCTGGACCGTTCCAAATGTGATTTGACAATGCATGAAGTGAATTTTTGATGAGCGTGAAATTTCAAAGGGCTGTGAATGCGTGCGCTTCTTAATTTCATTTTTACAAGCCGAACAATTTGTGATAAACTAATTGATTTCGGTTTGTGGCTTTAATCGAAACTAGCTGAAAGCTCCAGATTTCAAATTTATTTTATTTTTTTTTGGCTATGCAAATGTTGAAAATTAGGAAGCTATTGGGGAAACCAGTTTTGGGGCTAGCTACTTAGCTTGGACTGTATTTAGGCATGCATAATTGGCATGCGGCGCGACTTAATTAGACTTTGATGTTCATATTTATTGCTGCATGGGGCGTATGCGTAATACGCATATTTCAGAAGCTTTCTAAAACCAAAACAAAAAGCTGATAAGCGAACGGACTGCTAATTTGTTGACAAATTGCAGTTATCTTATCTAATCGCAGCATCAGAGATTTGCGAGCGCTGAGCTCATTTCGTGCGAAATCTCATTCGGATTTCTCATTTCTTTGCCCAACTAATCTCTGCAACCCAATTACATTATATTTTTGCAGCTGAACGCGCCTAGCTGCAATTTGACAAGTCTTAGCCATGGCTGTTAAGTGCGTCCCATTGGCGCTGTCACTCCTCCTGCTGGTCCTGGGCCTAGCTGATGCCTTCGATCACACACTGAAACTGGACTTTCCGGGTCCCTATTGCGCACGACAGAACACATGCTGCAAGGATCGGCGCGACGGCTGCTCGATGCCCATATCCAGTGAGTATATTTTCCTATACTCTGTATTAAATATTTCCTTATTTTTCCAACTAACTGGTAACTATTATGGATTTCCTTTCCCACAGCCACACTGTGCTACTGTGATGAGTTCTGTGATCGCGATGACTCCGGCGATTGCTGTCCGGACTATCGCTCCTTCTGCTTCAATGAACCGGATCCGGTGCTCAGCTGCCTGCACAACGGCGTCTACTTCCACAAGTACAACAACACGTGGGACAACTGCAATGAGTGCCGTTGCCTAGACGGCGGTCGGGTGCAGTGCGACACGGATCTGTGTCTGACGGACGACGAGCTCATCAACAGCGTCAACTCGATCCATCAGCTGGGCTGGTCGGCACGCAAGTACGACGAATGGTGGAGCCACAAGTACAGCGAGGGTCTGCGCCTGCGCCTGGGCACCAAGGAGCCCACCTATCGTGTCAAGGCGATGACACGCCTCTCCAATCCGTCCTCGGGCCTGCCACGTAAATTCAATGCCGTCGAGAGGTGGTCCAGCTACATTTCAGAGGTGCCCGATCAGGGCTGGTGCGGCTCCTCCTGGGTGCTGTCCACCACTTCGGTGGCCTCCGATCGCTTTGCCATTCAAAGCCAGGGCAAGGAGGTGGTCCAGCTGTCGCCCCAAAACATACTCTCCTGCACACGCCGGCAGCAGGGCTGCGAGGGCGGCCACCTCGATGCCGCCTGGCGCTATCTGCATAAGAAGGGCGTTGTCGACGAGACCTGCTATCCATACACACAGCGCAGGGACAGCTGCAAGATACGCCACAACAGCCGCTCGCTGAAGGCCAACGGCTGCCGGCCCGCGTATGGCGTCAATCGGGACAGCTTCTACACAGTGGGTCCAGCATACAGTCTGAAGGGCGAGACAGACATCATGGCAGAGATCTACCATTCGGGACCCGTGCAGGCCACCATGCGCGTCTACAGAGACTTCTTCTCCTATTCGGGCGGCGTCTACCGTCAGACGGCCGCCAATCGCGGTGCACCGACCGGCTTCCACTCGGTGAAAATTGTTGGCTGGGGCGAGGAGCACGATGGCGTCAAGTACTGGGTAAGCTAAGGGCAATGCAGATATCGGATTACGGTAGGCTCATTTATTTATTTGCTTTCTATTTACTCTCCAGATCGCGGCCAACTCGTGGGGTCCTTGGTGGGGCGAGCATGGCTACTTCCGCATATTGCGCGGCTCCAATGAGTGCGGCATCGAGGAGTACGTGCTGGCCTCGTGGCCCAACGTCTACAACTACTACAACGCGAAGGCGGCGGTGTAAATGGAGCCGAGCCAAGTCGAACTGAAAAGTTCTCGAAATCTCGAGCTAAAACGCAGTGACGAACAATTTATCTCATGTTTCAAAATTTTCCATTTGCTACGACACTGAAAGTGAATTAGGCGCTTCTCTAATTGTAAATTTATGCTAGAATTTAGGTACTAAAATGATTAGCTTTAAGTCGCGCTCAGACGACACCACTTTGATAACTGCCCCCAAAGCCCAGCTCCAGATCCGGCATCCCCCATCCCTCAACGAAATAGTAACTCTTGAATTTGTTGTTTTAGCTAACCCATAGCGACTAATCTATGGAACTCGACGTAACAGAAAAACTGCCACATTAACCATCATCCTGCCCAGCCCCAAACTGTGACACCTAATACTGCCACAACGACTAGCAAGCGAGTAGAGGTCGCTTGGCCCATCAATCAGGTTCTCTTTTTTCTTAGCAAGTGATCAAGGCATTGTGAGAGTATGAGAGACGCAAAGAAAGGTATTCGAAGGAACGAGTAGGACCGAGTCGAGGGTTTGTGTACGAGTATGTCGAATGTTTGCATACTTATCCACTCATGTATTGTAAATGAAAGCTAAGTTAAACTGATGTATAGACCGATCGCATTTGTTCGGCTTTAAATTGTATATGTATGTATATTTTTAATAAAGGAATTGTATTTCATGTTCATGTTCGCTATGTTTCCTTTAGCCCATTCTCATGCAAATAATATTCAACTGTGTTTTTTTGTTGACATTTGACTATTAATTTGCTAAAACAATTTGATCTTAACTTTATTTATGCACAATCAAAAATCTGTCAAATTGCATATAATCAATAATAATTAATGAATAATTTATAATGGTATATAATTTTTTACTGTAGCTCTTCCTTTGTTTAACAATATTTCACATCTTTTTTTGTTTTTGTTTCGTTCTGTTTTTCTACGTTTTCGTTTTGCAAGGGGTTAAATAATAGATATAATATAAAATACAATTCTTTTTGGGGGATAATTACTTGTAATTATGAACTAAATACACGATAATGATAATAAAGGAGAAAAATCATCGAGAATGTTGACGCTTTGCACTTACAAGTATATAATCGAAAATGAAACTTTTAAGCACTTCTCTTTTCTTGTTTTTTGATTTTTTGGATAGTCTCGCACTATCCTAAACATTCTACAATTTATCATGGAATTTTGTTTCTTTTCGAAAACACAGTTTATACCGTTGTTTTGATCGCTTTTCAAGGTTCTGTATTATTCTGTTTATCCAGCCTTTGAAAGAGTGGGTTCAACTATTTGCTGACTGATAAGCAGCATTACAAAAATAGGCGTGATCGAGGGGCGTTGTTTGCTGTGTTTAAGTGGGTCACAAATGAAGGAGGATTTCGTCTTTAATTGAGTGTGATGCCAGCAAACGAGACTTCCAGTGCGGCGTCATTTGACTCCATGCGACTGCGCAAATGTGCCAGCGTATTCTTGTAATGACTCTCGATCTGCTTGGTTTCCTCGCTCGGTTCCAGATTGGGCAGCTCTTCGTTAACCTTAGCAATGAGCTGCAAAATGTGATGGGAGAGTGATGAAAATCTGGACGAGAGTAAGTATAAGAGAAAAAGCCTTACCTGATTCAGCATGGCTACTGTGATGAGAGAATTGCCGCGCTCAAAGTAGAATAGATAATGATTCAACAGCTCCACATACAGCTGCACTTGCACTCCCGTATCCAGACAATGTGAAGCGATGCGTGCGCCCTTCTTTAGACAATCCAGCGTACGTTTCTCGTCTCGCATTTCCTCACCATTTTGCCTGCAGCGATAGCATATTAGATTGGGATTTTTATATAAATTCTAGTTTCGATTTACTCACTTGCCGCTCCAGAAGAGCGCCGCACAAGCCACCACACCCCGACACTGATCCGGTTTCTTCAGCAGTTTGGACGCGGCCAGCGCGCAATTGGTGCGCAGCGGCTCTGCGTTCTCCTCGCCAAAGCAGGACATTTGCTCAAATGTGGACATGATGAGCGTTATGGCCGCTAGTTGCGCCTTCGAATCGGATATCTCATCTTCGTACAGCGAAAAGGCCTGCGTCATGAACTCGTATGCCACAGTCTCGTGATTTGTGTACCGAATCTCGCCAATAACCAAGGCACCTTGCAGGTACAGGCGCAATGCCAGGTCTGGCAAATCCGCTTTGGCCAATGCACTGATTGTGCTGTGACAGTACTGCACAATCTTCTGGCATTTCTTGTCCCAGTTCTCATCCTGTTCAGCAATTGCCTTGTATTTAAACGCCAGTTGATAGGCGGCAAATACAAGTGGAGGGAGGACGTGCTTCAGTCGCTGGCCACCGCCCTGGCCCAAATGTTTGCGGGCTATTTGCAGCATTTTGTATTGCATATCCGGCTCATCGGATTTCAAGAGATGTATAAACCTATAAAAGCAAACGATTGTGAAATTCAGTTGTATTTGAAGCAACGCCATAGCAACTCACCGTGCAACAACGCCCTGCTCCTCCGCAAACTCTTCGGCATCGGCACTATTATTGGCAGCTGTCGTGTTCGTCTCGTCGTCCTTGATCAGCGGTGTTATGATCGTTAATATGCTATCTGCCTGATCGGCTGTGGGCACCAGCGTCTCATTCTCCAATATGTTCATAACCAAATATAAAGCCAACGATTTGCGCGAAGTGTAATCAAACTTTTCCAACAGGGGACAAAAGTTTTGCAATTGGATTATGGTCAGCGCGTTGTTGTAGAAGTCAATGCAGATGCGCAGCAGACGAGACAGTTCCTGATTCACAGACAACAGGTGCGAAATGCTACAAGGTAAGTAAGTAAATGCAATTAACATTGATTCACGAATAGAGCCGCAAAACTCACTTGTTCATGTTCATGCGGTCGAGTATTTTTGCGGTTGTGCCTAGCACTTTGTCCACATAGTCAACCCGATCGGCATACACTTTCTGGGCTAAGCTGAGTAAGGCCACTTGCAACGATATTGTGTCCTCCAGCGGCATGTCCGTGCGCGTTTGCACAATGTTTGCCACCTGTACGCTGAACACCTCAAATAGCTCCACTTCGGCGGGTATGATGGCATCGATGGCATTGCCGCTCGACTGCAATACAATTCGATTAATATATTTCTCAATTTATGTTGAGTAGAGTTTCCTTACTTTGCCACTGCGTTGATTATAGGCTGCCAATCGTTCGATGAGCGATATTATGATATTCTTAACATTCACGCCTGTCTCCAGCTGGGCGCAGGACTTTAGGAACGGATCGAGTGTCTGCAAGTGAAACTCGTCGGGAAATACTTGGATAATGCACTCCATTAGATACTCTTGCGCAATGGCATCTCGACAGCTGACCACCTGCTCCAATATGCCGGGCAGTATCAAACGCCTGTACGTCTCCAGTGTGGCAGACTCCAGCTGCGATAGACGCACCAAGTTTGTGCCAACCAGAATTTTCAGCTCTTCGCGTTCCTTTTCTCTGCGGGTTTTCTCGCTTGAATGGCCCTGATGCTGCATGCGCACCCACAGCTTATTCATCTCTGCGAAATTCGTCAGTACAAAGTCGATGGCATCATACACGTTGCCCTCGTGCTCATTCTCTGCTACCAGAACGTCGGGCAGTATGTTGCGGGTGCACTGCAGCAGATAGTTGCGTAAGAAGAGACCGCGCAGCGGATGCTGCACGCCTCGACACATCTCCACAAGATCCTTCAGAATACTGCGCTTTAACGTAGGATCGTTCTTTATGTACACAATGCCCACTGTGATGAGCAGATAGAGACGCGGCACTATCGTGTGCGAGTACTGAACCAGTTCATATAGATCCGTCTCCTTGTTGTTCTTCTCGCTTAGATACAGCTCCAGGTGGCACAGTTCATTCGTGATGGACATATCTATGCACAAATATATTTTAAATGATTGTATGCAATGTCAAATCTTATAGCTTATATGCATTTTATATACGTACACAACTCGTAGTAGCTCTTCGGTGATAGCAGCGAGGTGCGCAACTCGCTTAGCATCGTGCTGGCACATTTCAGCGCGTCCAGCATGCGCTCCTTGTCCAGAAAGTGATTCATTTGGAATGCCTGTTTACGCGCCGCACCGGCCGCCTCGGCGAGTAGCTTCTCCTGGTCGTCCAAACCATTCGGCATCGTCTGAAACGAAATATAGCATACAGTGTCCGGCAATGTGGGCCAACGATCCGATGAACGCGAATACATGGGAGAGTATGAGTAATTTCAGCAGCGACAATTTGAGAGAGTTGAGATTTACAAACACAGAAAGCACAAAACACAAAATACAGAGCCGAGTGTGATGAGATAAGCGTCGACAGCTCGTTCTGCTGCTGCTTTTTGGATTGAGCGAAAGATGATAACATAAAACCAGAGCTGGTATTGCTTTTGCCCAGACTCCGACCGATTGCTGACTGCGATCCCCGCCCAGGGCGTGCATTCAGTACAAAAGCGAACAAATAGTAGTAAAATATTAGTGCAAATAGAAGTAGTAGATAGTGGAGTGGTGTGGTATGAGGGGGGAGTGGAGTGTTGGATAAGCATTGCCTCTGCGTGGCGTATTTACCCTGGTTTGTCCACCAGTGGGCGCTTGGCCGCCGTACGTGGAAGAGTTCCAGGGATACATGCTTGATGATCGGGGTGCTGTGCTTTTGGTGGTGGTGTTGGTATATGGTTATGTGGACTCCAGTACTGCTTGCGGCTACGGCTGCGGCTGCAAATGGCAAATCGCACTAGTTTTTGCCGCTAGCAAAGTGGGCGGGCGAGGGCGCAGTCAGCGTTTTAGCGTTCGCAGTTTGGCTTTCTTTTCTTGTAGCTACTTGGGTACTTGCACTGTGCTGAAATGTCGGTTTCCGGCTTCTGGCGACTACGTTCGGGTTGAGGGCGCACTTACCATTACAGCAGCGTTAAGTGGGCGGAGCAAGGATGAGAAATTATCTTAAATTAAAGTAATTTTTTCAATAGTTTTGTACTCAGTGTGACCACAGGCGGCAACCACTGAAATCCACCATGAGCAAAATACCAAATAAATTAAAATACCATAAAGTGCTGATATGGAGTTTGGTCACACTCTCAGAGGAATTCTGTTCGAAATGTATGATATGCGTATATTTATAGCCGGTTTATGTTGGATTAATAATTGTGTGATTCGAGTGCAAGACAATTAGTTTTTCGCTTGTCTTTTTTCGCGCAGTTCTTTGCAAAGAGCATCTTCACCATCTGGCTCAGAGCCCTGTTGCTTATTCGCAGCGGCCTTTTCGAGCTGCTCCTTCTCCATCCTGGCGACGCCTTCGCGGACAACCTTATCAATATCATCAATCAGCCCGGCAGCGCCGAAGCGGAAACGTTGCGGTGTCAACCAGCGAGTGCCCAGTGTCTCCTTAACGAGAGTCATCCAGGCGATGGCGTCACGCACTGTGCGCACTCCGCCAGCTGGCTTGAGGCCAACTATTTGGCAAGTGCGCCGCTTGAACTCCTGTATGGCAAAAATCATGACCAGGCCAACGGGCAGAGTCGCGTTCACCATCTCCTTGCCTGTGGAAGTCTTAATAAAGTCCGCACCCGCCATCATGCAAACCATGGCCGCCTTGTACACCTGATAAGCAGAGCAAACCAATAAGAGATTCAGCTACAGATTTCTCACTCACATTCTCCATGGTACCCAGTTCGCCAATGGCAAGGATGGTCTTGAGCAGCGCGTGGTCACCGCAGGCGCTGCGCATGAGCACCACCTCGTTATAGAGTGCCTTCCAATCGCCCAACAGTGCCAGCTGCCGATTGATGACAATGTCAATCTCCGTGGCACCCGCGAGAATGGCATGGCTTATCTCCTGCAAACGCGTCTGCAGTCCATACTGCCCGGTGGGAAAACCACTGGCCACTGCGGCAATCGCAACTCTATCCAACTGTTTAAATTGTTCGACCGTTGAATAGGCGTCCTGCACACGCGCCGGATACACGCAAACAGCGGCACAGTGGATGTCCAGCAGAAGTGTGCGCTCAAAGAATTTGTCGAAAAACTGCGGCTCAAATGGATAACAGGCGCGCACGCACATCCGACGCACATTCGCCTTCGTATCATCTCCAGCCAGTGTGGTCAAGTCAGTCAGCATGAGCGCTCTCAGAGCCCACGCGATTTCATTTGTGCCCGTAACTATACACTGGTTCGATAGAGTCATTGCAATCTCCTCCACCTGGCGTAACGATATGTTAACAGCTAAAAACGTGGGATCTGAAAGATTTGCATGGAAGCTGTATGGCATATAGGCATATATAAATAAGACGTGTCTTACCAAATGGCAGAGTTTTGTTTACAATCAAATTTTTGGCCTCCATGTTCAAAGTGGGACTGAAAATTATATTTATACGAGATACTCCCAATTTAAGTAGAGCAGAAACTGCACGCGAAGCCTTCTATAGGCCTTCTTATATGTGGTATGTATAGATGCGTTGAATTATGTAATATATGGGGACAATGCTTTAAGACTAACTAATGTAACAACCCAATTTTAAGCAGAAAAGTCTGCATATGTATATGAAACCGACTTGAAAGTCTAAGCTAGGAACGTTTGATCACATTTCTTTTCCTATTTGTTAAATAAGAAACTAGTTTGGTTTTTATTCAGTTTAACAAACACGCCCATTTCTAATACTATACTGACAATGGGTGGATAGATAACAACCAAACAATAACACAGACAGTAATGATTCATTTGTGACGGCCAACAGTAAAATGTGTTCATTTAATTGTCCTAATTAAACTAATAATATATTGCATTGAATTTGGATCGGGTAACGTTAAGTTGATATCTCAACGATGCTTCGACCACTGCTCCCAGTATTCCTGTTTCTGCATCTCGTAGAGTCGTGACACGGTGCGTTCAAAGGCAAACATTTCCTCTTCTCCAGTAAATACGCTCGACTGTTAAGGAAACCAGTTTAATTCAAATACAAATATTTAAACAATTTTAAGGCCTTACCGAATTCTCGTTCAGTTTCAAGTCGTCCATTAACGATCGGTCAGCATCACTTATTTTGGTTTTTTCAGAGACTTGAAATAGGCTGTCCAGCGGCTCATCCGCCGAGATAACAACGCGAACTCGATTGTCGTACAGAGTATCAATAAGCGTAATGAATCTCCTCATTTGGGATCTCACGTTAAGATTTAGCTGGGGCACATCGTGTATGAGCACTGTATGAAAGAACTGTGCTATCTGGACGTAGTCGTTGCCTCCTAATGGCTGCAAACGACACAGATTAACAATAGTCGCTCATTACCTAATCGAAGAGATTACTCACGCGATCGCAGAGCTCGACGAAGCTGCTGTTCAATACCTGGCCACACGTGCGTTGAAAGGTCAGTTCGCGTCCAAAATGCGTGATTGTGCGGGGCCTGATGATGTCATTCTCCTCAGAGCACAGAATCTTGAACATGCGATTCATCATTCCATTAGCATCTGTCTTGCCTTTCACGAAGTAGTTCGTGTCACCTGATTGGGCAACGCGACGATAATCGATCGAGTCTAGATTCGCTGTCTGGCAGCGTCTCTGCAGCAGACCGATGAACGGTACAAAGTTGACGCGCTGCAAGCCGTTCTTGTACAGGTCCTCTGGATGCCGATTGCTTGTGGCCACGACGACAATGCCATGTCTAAAAAGGTGCGTGAATAGTCGCTTAAGTATCATCGCGTCCGCAATGTCTGTCACCTGGAATTCGTCGAAGCAAATGAGCCACGACTCGTTTGCTATTATATCAGCAACAGGTTTAGTGGGATCGAAGGGGGCTGGTCTCTCCGAATTGAAGGCACGATCCACTGGACCCTGTCGTTCCTTTGCCTCGTGTATGAGGGAGTGCACCTTGCTCATGAAAGCGGTGAAGTGAACCCGACGTTTTTGGTGGACCTGTTAATAAGGGGATAGGGAATTAAATTAAGTATTTAATTAATATACAATATATATTAATGTATCATATATGAAGACAATATTTAAATATAAATAATGGCAAAAAAAAACCGAAGATTTAGTACATTTAAACAAATTGAGATAAACAATTTATTTACACTGGCACCTGTTAATTTTTCTTTGAACTTTTATATTATGTCATAATGATATCGCAGTTAAAATAAAGTCTTCGGTTTCTTTCATAGTCCTCTTTTTTACACACACCTCTGTACAGGAGTCGTAAAAAATATCCATTAACGTGGTCTTGCCCACACCCACACTACCGTAGATATATAGACCCTGGGGGGCGTGGCTGCCCGCATCCATATCGTCGTCGGCATCACTGCCATCACTGGAGCCACCGCCAAACACAGATGATAAGAATCCACCGCCTGATCCACCGCCCCCCTGTGTGGATGGTCGATATCCCTGGAGTCTATTGTAGAGTTCGTCCAGTTTCTGCATTGTTTGTTGCTGCCTGCTATCGCTCCTTAGTTGACCAGACGACACTCGTTTCTGGTACTCGGCCATTGGGCTCAGGTGGCGGCATTGAAAGATTACACATGCTTGCTCCAATTGGAGCAACAATTTCGACTGGGAGCGCAGAGCGGTACGCGCCACTGAGCCCACTTTATAAATTAACATGGTTTGGCCAAAATATTATCACGCGGTTTGGTGGGCAGATTGATGGAATTTCTCACGTCAGCTTAACATATTACATAAACAATTTTGGCGATATCCGCGTTGCCGAAACGTTGACCGCGAATTTCGTACGTTGGCGTTGGCCGTGAATTTTCACAACTGGCCAAATCACAAATGACATTCTAACAAAATGCCCCAGCTGTTGTGTTTGCAATTCACCGTTGACAGATTAAAAATGAACAGCTGTTCGCCAATTCAATCATAAGCCGGCTCCAGTTCATTTTTGAGCTTTTCAAATGAACTAGCGCGAAATTTGAAATTGTTATTGATGTATGAGAAGAAAGTACGCCATTAATAAATTAAAGTTCAAAGTTTACACATTTATTATACATTTATTACACACAAAATTTTGTAATAGTAAATGAAATATATTCGACGCTCTTTAACTTTCTACTGGGCTCATCTCATGGCAACTATTTCTATTTATTTATGGCTGACTTTGCATTTCTACATAGCTTTTTACATTCAATTTTTTTCACCAGTTAGGATCTGGGTACAACGGCTCGAATTAGTTTTAGTTTAATAATTTTCTGCTGATTTTCATGCAGGAGCAAAAAAATAAAATACATCTAAATATTTGTTACTAATAAATTCATACATTTATATAATTTATTAGGATTTGGTTTTTGCTTTGCTTTGCTATTCAAGTGAATTGGGCATTGCCAAATATATATATATTTCTTTCTTTTTTTTTTGTTCATCGTATTATATATTCTTTTAAATTCCATTGTGCTGCATTAGTTTTGATATACAATACATGTTAGTTCACATCAATAATTAATAAAAAGCGCAATTTCATTTGTCAACATATTAAAATTATTGTTACTTAAATTGTGCCTTGATTTGAAAAAAATTGTTACGCAGAATCTTTCAAAATCTGATACAGACATATGAACTATTTACTGCTGTTCTCAAAGATTAAATTTACTTAATAAATGTCTTTTTTTAATTATATATTTTAGCTTTTGATATAAGTGTTGATTTGATGTAAAATCTAATGTTAAACACTTGAGCTCCCCGCAAGAGGAGAAATCAATTTTGTTTGGATTTTGTTGTTGTTTTTCTTTATTTTTATTTTTATTTTTATTTTTATTTTTCGTGGTAGCTCTAGTTAAATTTCGAATGGTCCCGACTTATGTAAGAAACCTATAATAACATCCATTTTGTTTGCATGCGTCAAAAATATAAGCAAAAATTACTTAAAAACTATGTAATGCAAATTGAATTTGAATAGTATAACATTTTAATGAATTATTAACTAGATTTAATTTTTTAAATTTTGGTTTTCGCTTTGAATATTGAATAATCGAATTGAACAACATGAATATTAGTACGATTTAAAAACGCCATCGAATTAGCATTATTCAAGTAATATRTTTGTGTATATAATTTAATTTAATTAATTATAAACTCCGTTCGGCCTACAATGGCCAGACACGCGCTAAAAATCAGTACAATTGATTCACATCTCATCTTGGGATTATATAATTAAATTCTTAAAAAAATTCCAAAAAATTATTGCTTTTGATTTGCATATATATTTTACAATTCGAATTATATAATTTAATATTTAATTAACTGGTCAAGCTCGGTTAATTAATTTGATTCTCGTTTAGTTTGGAAAGAAAATCAAAAAGGAAAAAATAAATATTCTCTGGAAGTTGGAAGATGGTTGGTTGAGTTGGATTCGTGTCGGAAGAAAGAAAACCACATTGAAACAGAAATAAATTAAAAGTATATATTTTATATTTGTTGAATATGTACATAAAGTTCGATACATAAATGATAGAATTAAAGTGACTAGCGTTAAAGTAGAGTAAGTGTAAATGATACATATATACAGAGATAATACAGCTATGTTTTACGAGTCTATTTGTAGCTTGTACATTACGAAACTTAGACGATAAAGTTGAGGGAGCTTCTCTATTTATTGTATATAGTATTTGTATATGTAAATAATCCTTTGGATTTCGTATGCACCGAATTTTGAGAAACCAAATGGCTAATTGGGTCTATAGTAATAATAATTATAATTTTAATCATAATAACGAAAATGCCCCCTCGACCCCAGCTGGTTGCTGGCCATGCTCAGTCGTTGTGTTTGTGTAGTGGAGRAGGAGGAGACGTTTAGAGCACGTGCAGATTTTCGCAGCTCTTCGACTTGGAATCTCGCGTCCAGACGCGTCCCAGCAGTCCCTTGACCTTGAGGCTAGTAGATGTACGCGAGCCGCGATATTTACGTGGGCTACACAACAAATGAGGTGAAAAAGTTGGCGTTGTAATTAGCTGTCAGGCATTCGAATGCTCAAAGCAACTCACCTGCTGTGTGCACTGCCGGGCGGCGTGCCAGAGCCATCGCCCAGTGGACCGCCAAGCGGGCCCAGCGGCGTATTGGCATTCAGGCAGCCCGAGCTGAGCGGTGAGCACGCACGACGCTTGGACTTGCGAATGGAACGCTTGCGAAACAGATCCCTGCAAATAAAAGCAAATTTAGAGTTGTTTTTTAAATTGCAATTCAATGATTTGCGAGCCACTCAAATACCAACCTGGATTTTTCGGGATTCTCGAGCTTGAGGCGTATCTGCGACAACAGACCCACCAGCAGCTCATCAACGTTGTGATTAATGCCCACCGATGTCTCAATGAATTTGCAATCGTAGGCGGTGGCCATGGCCTTGCCCTCTGCAATAAACAAAGATGGTAAATATTTTTTAGTGCTTTGCTGAATCTCAGTTATGCGGCAAGTTAATCAAATCGAATTGCGTCGCTTAGTTAAACTCTTGGGCGGGTAATAAAAAGCAAAACTTGGACACTTAATACCTAAACACGTTGCCCATTAACCTCAGCCTCTCCGCAAACAGCGATGGCCCCCAATCTCCCTCTCTCTCTCACACTCTCATTGTGCCATGGATGCTGTCAGCTCTATAGATTTCGTCACGTTTGCTGCGCCTGCTGTCGTTAAAATCTTTAGCCTACGAGTACAATAAGTAGCTATGCGTATGTTTTTGCAGGCCCGTTTTTATGGCAACCACACACACACACACACATACTCAAATACACATATACACAAACACACACCACATACATATGGGGTTTTATTAACGATGTGCGAAAAAAGTTGGTGTCATTTTATTAGATTTTGATAGGATGTTCTCATCGCCTCGCCGACTCCGCAGCTTTTCTTAAATGCCATCAGCTTATTACGGTGCTTTTATTAAATACCCAGCTGGCTGTAGTGCTGCAAGCCTTAAAGATTTATTTTGCAAAAATATTTGCCACCCCTTTTGCATCGGCGCTGGCTCAAGAAAGGGCATGTCAGTCCAGCTCGGGCGCTTAATTAAAAGCAAACACAAATCATAAACAATGAGAACTACTTGGCAGCCAAATGGCAAATGCCAAGAATTTCAAATATTTGTGAGCGCAGCTCAGCTGCTCATATATGTATACAATACGACCCCAGATATTATTTAAGCATTAGCTTATTTCCTGTGCACTTTAATTGCTTTTTTATTTGATTTTCTTTTCTTTTTGCATTTATTAATTTCTTTGAGGTTTGCTCATGTTTTCGGTAATCCTGTACTCCCCCACACCAAGTGCTATAAATATTTTATGAAATTTCTGCTAAAACATCATCCCCTAAGCATCCTCTTTATATTGACAACAATAGAAATGGGCTTATTAAGGCGTAAGCCGCAGGAATGAAATGTAATCAATTTTGTGCTTAAACAATTTTCCCAGCTACACAAGTAGTATAAAAGCGCGTCCATTTGCTGCTCCCTGCAGACGCCGTCCTGACCTAAATTTGGTTCTCGCTACATTTTTCTGCTTTGCTTGTTTTGTCAACGCAGCCGACACTTTCATAAGCGGCCATTAGAAACAAATGTAATTTGTGAAAATATTGAATTTCCTAGATGAAAGCCCTGCCTAGTGGATTGCTGGCTAACGGTGAATAAATCTCCTGACCGTTTAAATTGATATTAAGGTAGATGGCGATACTTAAATACCCTAGAGAATATTGAGCTAATATGTTTCAAGTGGCTGTTGGCTTTCATATACTAAATACGTAAAAGTCTGTTAGTTAACAGAAATACAAATGTTATTTGCACACTCATTTTTGTCACACTCAGAGTGTGAGATGTTACTCTGTTAACAGCAGCCCATTGAGTGAGGATGTCTTATGTTAACAGCAGCTCATTTAAATAGCAGAGATCTGTAACTGTACGCTGTAAAGTAACATTAATGCATTTAGTTAACTCTATCTAAGCTCAAGTCCACTAACAATTCATTTGAGCTGCTTTTCTGTCTGTCTTTATTTGAATAGTCAAGCAAACCTTTCAATGGACTTTGAGAAAGTTCAAATATTATAGGGTACTTAAATGGTTGTGCTTGAGTAAACATAAAAAGCAATGAGCGCCCAGTTGAGTGACCTTCACTTGCTTTACATTTAACGAGAGCCTCTATACATTTAAATACAATATATATGCGTACATGGTGTGTGTGTGTGTGTGTGGGTGTGTAGGTGTATGCTTCGTTGGGCGAACCGCCAATCAACTTCCGCTTGATCAACTTTCATTGAAAAACCAAAATTAAAGCGACTGCAGCTGTCTGTGGCCGCTTTTATGGTGTCCTTTGCAGACATCCAACGACGTCCAACAATAGCAATATTAACACACACACACAGACACACATGCACACACCGATTCACCTTGTCGGTGTAGGTGTATCTATTTTTAAGCGAAAATATCCAATCGAGCACATTTTGAAGTGCTAATGAAAGGCAAAAGTGGAAATCGTTTAGTCAGCTGCATTGAATCTAGTTTATTTACCTTCGGATGTAACGAGTCGACTCCTGGCGAGGTCCGCTTTGTTCGAGACAAGAATAACGGCTTTCTGTGCGATGTTTTGATTGGTCCATAACACCTGAAGCACCTGCTCGGCAATGTTGAAGCTGCTGCGGTCCGCGGCGGAGTAGATGACGCAATAGCCATGTGGATCATAGTTGGTCAAGCATTCATCCGGCTGTGAAAGCAAAGGACACAAATTTGACATTGAGTGAGGTTCAAGAGATGCCTGAGCTGTGTGAATGGGTGATGTATCTGTGTGTGTGTGTGTGTGTCTGTGTGCATGTCTGT